GGCGGCAGTTGGAGGACAGATCTCAAATTTCTAAAACTTTCTTTTATTGAAAAAGAATATTACCAGATATTTTTACGATAAATTGCTTTAAAAAAATCGTAAAAAGGCGAGCTCGTGGAATAAATTTAAATCAATAAATTAATTCTTTTATAAGGATTTTTTTAACGGAAAATTATGACAGAAATTACGTCACATTTTTATTTTATTTCTAGCATTTAATCGATCTTTACACAGAGTTGGATAATCCGTTGGCCGTCTTTACTGGCATGTTTGATAGGAGACATGGATCAGCTGACTATCTTTACTGGCATGTTTGATAGGAGACATGGATCAGCTGGCTGTCTTTACAGGCATGTTTGATAAGGGGCATGTATCAGCTGGCTAGCTTTCCTGGTATGTTTGATAGGAGACATGGATCAGCTGGCTGTCTTTACTGGCATGTTTGATAGGAGACATAAATCAGCTTGCTGTATTTACTTGCATGTTTGGTAGGGGACATGGTCATTGCTGGCATGTTTAATACTAATTTTTAAATGTGTAAAAAAGAAGTCATGACCATGAGTGTATTTGCTTATAATATATATATATATATATCACAGATATGTATAGCAGTGGCATAGCGCCTAAGAGCCTATACGATTTAAGTACGTTCGGATTCCTAAAAACAATCATAGTTATTTTCTATTATTTTACGGAAGTCAAATAAATTTAAATGCGAAAACAATATTTTAAATACGCTTTTATTTTATTAAAAGTTAAAGTTATATTATTATAAATAACAAATACATTTAAAGTATCAACTAAGGAACTATTTTAAGCATTTTATGTGTTTGAAAGTTATGAAAAAATTTAAAAAACCATGATCAAAGAATTACACCATAATCACAGTTATCGGGAAAACCCAAGCATCAGTCGTTTTTAGTGCGTCTTTTAGTGTATTTTTTAATATTGCGAAATAAAATCAAAATTAATTTTTTCCAAATAATCACGCAAATGATGTCATAAAGCGAATAGCCTATTTTGCCAAAACTCTTAGGTTCTTTATATTTAATAACCGTGCGTGACAAAACTGATAATGTATCTTTCCTTCTTAAAATTGATATTAATAAATACCATTGATTGCTTTTTAAATTGTTAATAAAACACACACACATTTTTGCTCTGTATATTTTTAAATTAAAAAAAATTTGCCTCTTTTGATTTCAAAAATATTCTTTTATTAAATTTATAACGTAATAAAAACTAACCTTTAAATATAATTCTGATAAGAAAATGCAGTTTAAGTCAATCAGTGCAGCGTAACTCCATAGCTAAATAGCATTCATTAATCCACTTATACCTTATACAAATAAGAACGAACGATATGAAGTGCAAAATATGTTAGTTTGGGTAAGGAAGGGACTACAATCCGGTGGAAGATTTTCTAAATTTATTTAAATCTGGGGGTGGGGGGGGGGGGTTTGGTCACTTTGCCCCAGGCAGCACAAGACACGTCTCATGAATTTGATAAATAGTTAACCTTCTTTGGTACATTCATATCGGAGGTAGGAAATAGGATGTGCACATTTTTATGTGGATGACAATATATTTAAATCCTATGGTATTACATTTGTGAAAAAAAGAGTTGTTACATTCTCTTTTTACAAATTTGTGTATGTTCATTTGACGCAAGGCAGCACAAGATAAGTCTCAAAATAAAGAAATGAATTTTATAAATAATTAATGTTCTTGGGTAAATACATGTCGGAGGTAGGAAATAAGATGTGTAAATTCTTACTTGGATGACAACAGAGTTAACTCCTATGGTATTACATTTGTGAAAATATAAGATGTTACATTCACTTTTTACAAATATGGGTATGTTCATTATGCTCAAGGCAATTCAAGATACGTCCCAAAATAAAGGAATTAATTTGATTAATAATTAACCTTTTTGGTACATACATATCGGAGATAGGAAAAAGGATGTGTACATTTTTACGTGGATGACAATATATTTAAATCCTATGGTATTACATATGTGAAAATAGAGAGGTTAAATTCTCTTTTAATTAATAAACATATGTTTACCAATTAATAAAATCAATGGCGTTAACAAATCTTGGGTACATTTATATAAGTATATCCATGAATATCAAACCCAATCATTTTACACACTTGAAAATTAAATTTTGACAAATGAGGATGGGTTAAAATTTTCTTTTGAAAAAAATGAAAACATATTTTTCTTGTTACTTTGCAAAAAGTAAAGAGGTGTGTATTTTTTTGAGATTAACAATTTTTTTTTTAAAGACAGTCAAATCTGATATAGGCGTGAAAAGAAGTTGCGAGATTCTTCTTAGATAAAAGAATTATTTATTTTACGATTTTCTGATAATGTATAATTTTAAAAAAGACAAACAGTATTGTTGTAAATTTAAGATTAGGTTTTTTAAAAATTTTGAGAGTAAAAAAGTTGTAATTCAAGGGCAGGAAAAGGGGTATATCAAAAGTATTTCTCTAGCGTAGTAATTGTCCCTCAATTAACTTCTTTAGTGACAACGTGATATAATTACTGATAATTTAGACTGGGTAATTTAAGGTCATGTTAAGAGGTGGAAAAGTAGTTTAGGAGCGTGATAGGGTGTAGGGTACGCGTATCATATATAGGAGGAAAACACCTCTCAAAACTTAATGATGATAGAAACGTAAATATCATTACATTTTAAAAGTTATGAATTGGGATGAGTTTTTGCAATAGCTGTTAGAAATTATCGCAAAGGCCCTACCATTATTAACATGCTAACGTCGGGTCATTTATTCTAGTATTTAAAGAATTGAAATATCTCAAAGCAACACTGAAACAATATTTTAATCATGGTCCTCGTGATCAGGCATCGGTGTCTCTTAAATTATTTTTTTAAAATTCCTATCCTTTGATGAGACCGAGGGATAAAGCTTGAATGGATGTCCGGTGTCCATGGACTCCAATCTTAGAACCTTTGTTCTATGTTGGCATTGTCCCAAACTCACACAAACATAGCCAAGCTATGGTCATCGTCTTCAGGTTACATCCACTAATTATTACCGTGAAAGACTTTCCCACTGAGCTAATGGTCAAACTTGATTAGTCTGGTGTCTAGCCGTTGTCCCTCAACTTGGTACCTGGTATGTTAGCCTTGTCCGTGATCCGAAATGAGCGAACTCTCCACTAGAGGTCACTAATGTTGAGATCAGAACTCATTACCGGAGAAGGTTGGGTGTAGCTGGGGTGTGAGATCGTGTAAAAGTGTTTCTAGGATATGACTGAAGAGGGTGTGTTGGTGGACACAAGTTTGCTAAGGGATTGAAGAAGGTGTGGGCGGTAGTGGACACAAGTTTTCTAAAAAAAATGACTGTCGCTGCAAGGTATGGTGGTGGACATATGTTTTCTAAGACTTGACTCTAGATCAGTGTTTTCCAACCAATTTTGTGTCATGCCCTACCTAGGCCTTTCTAAAATTCCTATGCCCCCCCTATGTTATATATTTATATATATATATATATATATATATATATATATATATATATATATATATATATATAAATTATATATATTTATAATTTTTAATATTCGATAATTGAATTGAATCTCACTAAATGAAAACTTAATGTCAGGTTTTAGGAAGAAGGAAAAAGGATTTATGAATGAATTGGATTTATGAAAATTTGTTTAAGGAAACACAGTAAGTAAATTTTTTAAACAATGGAGAACTGTAATTCAGTTACAAAATAAAAGATTTTCTAAAATATTTTTCTTATTTACCTTTCATTTATTATTCATTATTTTATCATTTTAAAATACAATGAGGGATCACAAATACAGTTTGAGATGACTAATTTTAGTGAGAAATGTGCGCTTGATGCTTGATGCACAGACATTTTATGTTAGGCTCCAATTTAGACATACATAGTCTCAAGTCTCTCCGCTGTGTTATATCGAGCCGATTTCGTGTTTTAGCCGTCAATCACTTATGGCACTACATCCACATTCAGCTAAACGTGAAGATGGAAACGTTAACAATAGCTGTCTTGCACATTTGCCTGAATCTGAATGTTAGATTTATGTTTCCCCAAAAAGCCACGCCATATTAATTAGATTTTAACATTTTGCATTTCTGAGAGTTCTTCTTGATGTAGCATGTTTGAAATATCAGACAAATCCACTAAGATTGGCTGCATCATCCAAGTTGGAAAATCAGTTTGTATTAAATCAAAAAATCTTTCTTTTAAATCAGCTATTAAACATTTTTTAGATGATTGGCAATTACAATTATAGCGGTATCAATCACTTCACATTTTTTGAGCCAATGAAACTTTTCAACATTTTTTTCAACATATTTCTGACATGTGTTATGTCTATCGTATGTCTAAGTTATGTCTGTGTTATGTCTATCGTATGTCTAAGTTATGTCTGTGTTATGTCTATCGTATGTCTAAGTTATGTCTGTGTTATGTCTATCCTATGTCTAAGTTATGCCTGTGTTATGTCTATCCTATGTCTAAGTTATGTCTGTGTTATGTTTTTGTACGTCGAGCGTGTGTTGGTTACTGCAATGAGCTCACTGTTATATCAAAGATCTGCTAACATTCTCACGGTCACCTAAACACTTGTGTTCAAAGAAACAAAAACAATTTGGTTGGAATTTGTTTTTCTATTCAGTTGCTGACAACCTTATTCAACATATCAACAGTCTTAAGTAAATTAGGTAGTACACGATGTATACATCACGTAAGTTTATATTTAAACGTTCGACTAAATTCTACAAAATTCATTTCAAAACAAGAAGGCGAATCTATTGAAAATATCTGATTTGTATAAAAAAAACTCTATTTTTCAAGGGCTTTCAAATTTTCTTGTGAAATTAAAATAAAATACTAAAATCTCTTCTATTTAAAAAATCATTTAAAATGTTACATGTCAAAATAGTTAATAATAAAAAAAAACTAAAATAATTAATTAAACAAAAGTTAAAAACAATATTTAAGTAGTGATTTAATGTTCCTATATTTTGTGTTTAAATTTTTTATCCTTTATCCATTATTTTGAAGACAATTCAAAAACAGTGTTTGAGCAAATTGTTGGTTAGAACACCGGCCTCTTGTGCGAGAAAGGAGATGACGTCATGAAGAGACCAGACAATCCAACAAGTCCGATAACTCCAGCCCTTAAAATGGCCTTAATGTCCTTGTCCCTGGAAGCAACAAAAAATGTGTATGGGTATATGTAGGCCAATGTACGTGTGTTAAAGGTCGTAGCATTTCATTGTTATAATACTGGAATACATTTCTTAATGATATCATTACGCAATCTCAGTCTAAAGAAATGATGGTGCTGGAGGGTCCCCAGAGCCAATCTCCTTTGTCTTAAAACAGCATTTGTCTTGTGAACATTGTTTTATTTATTAGATCTCGTTGCTTTTATTATTTAAAATTTTTAAGTTTGCGCTTCTAGAATTGTTAGACCCAAGTGAGCTGTTCCATGCTACCCTTCCTTTAGACCCAAGTAAGATGTTCCTGGCTGTTTTACACTTTTACCCAAGTAAGTTGTTTCAGGCTGCCCTTCCTTTAGACTCAGTAAGCTGCTACAGGCTGCCCTTCCCTTAGACCCAAGTAAACTGTTCCATGCTGCCCTTTCTTTAGACCCAAGCAAGCTGTTACAGGCTGCCCTTCCTTTAGACCCAAGCAAGCTGTTACATGCTGCCCTTCCTTTAGAACCAAGTAAGATGTTCCTGGCTGTCCTACACTTTGACCCAAGTAAGCTGTTTCAGGCTGCCCTTCCTTTAGACCCAGTAAGTTGCTTCAGGCTGCCTTTCCTTTAGACCCAAGTAAGCTATTCCAAGCTGCCCTTCCCTTAGACTCAAATAAGCTGTTCCTGGCTGCCCTTCCCTTAGACTCAAATAAGCTGTTCCTGGCTGCCCTCCCCTTAGACTCAAATAAGCTGTTCCAGGCTGCCCTACCCCCGCTGAGAGCTTTGAAGGATGGCATCGTTTTTTTAAAAAAAAGAGAAGCAAAATAAATTATGAATCAAGGGAGAAAAGCGCGATTTTAGCAACTATTCGGGAGAAGAAAATTCTCTCCCTTTTTGATAATGTACGGTGCTTTACTGATCCATATTGGCATTGAAATTAATCAGCTCGTTTGTGATGAATAAAACTAGCACCAGGAACTAACGAAACTAACGAAACTAACGAACCATTTCTTGGTAAACATTCACTTATAGAGCCACAACATACAAGGCAGCCGTGAACTATATCGGTAAACATTTTGTTTTGTTATACAACTGAGAAAATCCCGATCATGTCTGAAGTGTTTTTTTATATTTTTTTAGTGACACATTCTGGTCTATAATATTCTGGTTTGAATCGTTAAATGATTTCTCCCTAGAGATCTAATTAAAACCAATCTGTGTTTGAAGTGCGTTACATGGGCTTAATGAATAATGAGTGACGTGTCTATCAACAATAGACTGTGTGTGACACAGTCTGATGTCATTAAAGCCATTTGAGCACACCTTTTTGACACGAGATCTATCTGACACATACACCATGTGCCACAAGACCTCTATCTATCTGACACATACACAATGTGCCACAAGATCTCTATCTATCTGACACATACACAATGTGCCACAAGATCTCTATCTATCTGACACATACACCATGTGCCACAAGATCTCTATCTATCTGACACATACACCATGTGCCACAAGATCTCTATCTATCTGACACATACACCATGTGACAGAAGATCTCTATCTATCTGACACATACACCATGTGACATGAAACGCAATGCTTACTTTTAGGGTAATAAACGATGGTTGAGTTGGGGTGGGGGGAGGGGGGGCAATGCCTGTTCTAAGTTTCGAAAATTTCCACGACTTTCGCATACTCATGTGTGGGCAATATAAGTAACATGTTATTTAAGGTAGAGGCTCTTACCATTCATACTCTGCAGACTTTAGATTTCTCCTGATATTGGCCGAGTTATCGATGATAGGTAATGAATGAATCAAGGCACCACGCGTCTTGCAGACGTCAAGTCTGTCCAGACTGTCCAAACAATGGTCGGTTAAAACTTTAGAGCCGGGGAGATAACCGTATTCTTGCTTAGTCGTAAGGGGTAGCTTCCCTTCCAAGTCAAAGGTTAAATGGCGAGCATCCTGACCTGCTTGGTCTGAACTAATAATTCGGAAAGTGTTATGGACCATGGTTGATCGCTTTGGATTATCGGGTGCTTCATAAACCCCAGTCATTACCCTCCTGGCGTCATTGTCTCGAGTCCTCACTCTCCTTACGTCATTGTCTTGACTAATTTCTCTTCTTGACTCATTGTCTCGAGTCATTACTCTCCGGGCGTCATTGTCTAAAGTCATTTCTCTTCTTGACTCATTGTCTCGAGTCATTACTCTCCTGGCATCGTTGTCTCGAAATATTACTCTCCTGGCGTCATTGTTTCGAGTCATTATTCTCATTGCTTTATTTTCTCGAGTCATTACTCTCCTTGAATCATTGTCTCGAGTCATTGCTCTCCTTGCATCATTGTCTCGAGTCATTACTCTCCTTGCATCATTGTCTCGAGTCATTACTCTCCTTGCATCATTGTCTCGAGTCATTACTCTCCTTGCGTCATTGTCTCGAGTCATTACTGTCCTTGCGTCATTTTCTAAAGTCATTACTCTCCTTGCGTCATTCTCTCGCGTCATTACTCTCCTTGCGTCATTGTCTCGAGTCATTACTGTCCTTGCGTCATTGTCTCGACTCATTACTCTCCTTGCTTCATTTTCTCGAGTCATTACTCTCCTTGCTTCTTTTTCTCGAGTCATTACTCTCTTGGCTTCATTATCTCGAGTCATTACTCTCCTTGCGTCATTGTCTCGAGTCATTACTGTCCTTGCGTCATTTTCTAAAGTCATTACTCTCCTTGCGTCATTGTCTCGCGTCATTACTCTCCTTGCGTCATTGTCTCGAGTCACTACTGTCCTTGCGTCATTGTCTCGACTCATTACTCTCCTTGCTTCATTTTCTCGAGTCATTACTCTCCTTGCTTCATTTTCTCGAGTCATTACTCTCTTGGCGTCATTATCTCGAGTCATTACTCTCCTGGGGTCATTGTCTGGAGTAATTTTTCTTCTTTTGTCAATGTCTCGAGTCATTACCCTCTTGGCGTCATTGTCTCGAATCATTACACTCCTGGCGTCATTGTATCGAGTCATTACCCTCCTGGCGTCATTTTCAAGAGTCATTATCCTCCTGGAGTCATTATCTTGAGTCATTACTCTCTTGGTATCATTGTCTCGAGTCATTACTCTCCTGACGTCATTCTCTCGAGTCAGAATTCTCATGGCGTTATTTTCTTGAAACATCACTCGCCTGGCGTCATTGTCTCGAGTCATGATTCTCATGCCGTTATTGTCTCGAGTCAATACTCTCTTAGCGTCATTTACTCGAGTCATTACTGTCCTGGCGTCATCGTCTCGAGTCATTACTCTCCTGGCGTCATTGTCTCGAGTAATTTTTCTTCTTGAATCATTGTCGTGAGACATCACTCGCCTGGCGTAATTGTCTCGAGTCATTACTCTCCTGGCGGCATTGTCTCTAATCATCTCTCGTCTTGAGTCATTATCTCGAGTCATTTCTCTTCTTGAGTCATTGTCTCGTGTCATTAATCTCCTCGCTTCATTGTCTTGAGTCATTACTTTCCTGACGTCATTATTTCCAGCCATTACCCTCCTGTCGTCATCGTCTCGAGTCATTACTCTCCTGACGTCATAGTCTCGAGTCATTACTCTCCTGGCGTCATTATCTCGAGGCATTACTCTCTTAGCGTCATTGTCTCGAGTCATTACTCCCCTGACGTCATTGTATCGAGTCATTACTGTTCTTGCATCATTGTTTCGAGTCATTTCTCTTCTTGAGTCATTGTCTCGAGTCATTACTCGCCTGGCGTCATTGTCTCGTGTCATTACTCTCTTGGCGTCATTGTCTCGAATCATCTCTCTTCTTGAGTCTTTATCTCGAGTCATTTTTCTTCTTGACTCATTGTCTTGTGTCATTACTATCCTCACGTCATTGTGTCGCGTCATTACTCTCCTCGCGTCATTGTCTCGAGTCATTACTCTCCTGGCGTCATTCTCTCGAGTCATTACCCTCCTGGCATTATTGTCGTGAGTCATTACTCTCCTGACGCCATTGTCTCGAGCAATTACCCTCCTGGCGTCATTGTCTCGAGTCATTACTGTCCTTGCGTCATTGTCTCGAGTCATTACTCTCCTGGCGTCATTGCCTCGAGTCATTACTCTCTTGGTGTCATTGTCTGTAGTCATTACTCTCTTGATGTCATTGTCTCGAGTCATTACTCTCCTGACGTCATTGTCTCGAGGCATTACTCTCCTGACGTCATTGTCTCGAGTCATTACTCTCCTGGCGTCATTGCCTCGAGTCATTACTCTCTTGGTGTCATTGTCTCTATTCATTACTCTCCTTGTGTCATTGTCTAAAGTCATTTCTCTTCTTGACTCATTGTCTCGAGTCATTACTCTCCTGGCATCGTTGTCTCGAAATATTACTCTCCTGGCGTCATTGTTTCGAGTCATTATTCTCATTGCTTCATTTTCTCGAGTCATTACTCTCCTTGCATCATTGTCTCGAGTCATTACTCTCCTGGCGTCATTGTCTCTAGTCATTACTCTCCTGACGTCATTATCTCGAGTCAAAACTTTTTGAGTCCTCCTTATTTGATTGACTTCACGTCTCGTAGCGTCATAACGAAGTGTCGTCTTTGTGTTGTCCACCAGTGTTGAGTCCTGTCTTATTTCTTTCTTATTCACTGTTACATTCTCTTCCTCCACTTGTCCATTGCAGATTTTACTTAAAGTGTTCTTGCTGTTGGTGCCGTTACCGGAAGAGTCAGTCCTGCAGTCGCTGCTTAATAGGTCAGGGTCTGAAACCTCTTTTTGGATCACAGTGACGCCAGACATTTTGTCCTGGTCAGAAAAAAAAAAAGAAAAACAGTTTCTTTACATTTAATGCATTCTGCGCACATGTTTACCCCCCCCCCCTTGACCTACATAACGAACCACACGGCTCTTCATGAATCATAATTCTTCCTCTTTTTGGATCACAGTGACGCCAGACATTTTGTCCTGGTCAGAAAAAAAAAGAAAAACAGTTTCTTTACATTTAATGCATTCTGCGCCCATGTTTACCCCCCCCCCCTTGACCTACATAACGAACCACACGGCTCTTCATGAATCATAATTCTTCCAGTGATTCCAAACAGATAACGTCAAAAATAACACCTTAGGTCCCCGTCTCTTATTATTTAAGTTGTCCATTGATTTTCAGATTTAAAAAAAAATCTTAACTTCAAGAAAATAAAAACCCTAGTGCTAATTAAGACATCTGTTCTCTAAGGTCTATAATCTGTTTGAAGCCACCATAGAAATAATTCATTTAGTGTTTAAACTAACCAGTCAAGATATGTTAGGTGTATTTACAGTAAAGATACAATTTGGAAAGGGTAGCACACTTGGACAGATATTTGCCCTTGTCAGGAAGTTCTCACAACATGAGCTCATGTTAGATTAGTTTTAAGGTAGTCAAACGTACGCATGTATTGGTGCATTCCTATCGTACACATCTGTTGATATGAAAACATCTGTCACTGACTCAATAAGGTTGTACACATCTGTTGATGTGAAGACATCTGTCACCGACTCAATAAGGTTGTATACATCTGTTATATGAAGACATCTGTCACCGATTAAATAAGGTGGTACACATCTGTTGATATGAAGACATCTGTCACTGACTAAATAAGGCTGTACAAATCTGCTGATGTGAAGACATCTGTCACTGACTCAATAAGGTTGTACACATAAGTTATATGAAGACATCTGTCACCGACTAAATAAGGTTGTACAAATCTGTTGATATGAAGATATCTGTCACTGACGGCTGTACACATTGAAAACTTTCATCTTGCTGAAGACCAGCGATGAAAACTAGTTCCTCGTGGCAGACAGGAGATCACTGATGACCAGCACTGACCCAGACTTACCAGAACTGACCGTGACTGACCAATACTCACCTTGCCATTGTGGAGGTGAGAGGCGTGGGACTCGGTGAGGGACGGAACAAACTGAGAGGCAGACATCCTGTGCTGGGAGCGGGCACCATGCGTGAGGATGAGAAGAGAAGCCACAAGGAGGAAGAAAGAGGCTGTCTTTCTCATGGTTGACTGAGGAGAGGTACAAAGAAGAGATGTGATAAAGTGGCTGTCTTTCTCACGGTTGACTGAGGAGAGGCACAAAGAAGAGATGTGATAAAGAGGCTGTCTTTCTCACGGTTGACTGAGGAGAGGCACAAAGAAGAGATGTGATAAAGAGGCTGTCTTTCTCGCGGTTGACTGAGGAGAGGTACAAAGAAGAGATGGGATAAAGAGGCTGTCTTTCTCACGGTTGACTGAGGAGAGGCACAAAGAAGAGATGTGATAAAGAGGCTGTCTTTCTCACGGTTGACTGAGGAGAGGCACAAAGAAGAGATGTGATAAAGAGGCTGTCTTTCTCGCGGTTGACTGAGGAGAGGTACAAAGAAGAGATGGGATAAAGAGGCTGTCGTTCTCACGGTTGACTGAGGAGAGGTACAAAGAAGAGATGGGATAAAGAGGTTGTCTTCCTCATGGTTGACTGAGGAGAGGTACAAAGAAGAGATGTGATAAAGTGGCTGTCTTTTTCATGGTTGACTGAGGAGAGGTACAAAGAAGAGATGTGATAAAGAGCTTGTCTTTCTCATGGTTGACTGTGGAGAGATACAAACAAGAGATCAGATAAAGAAGTTGTCTTTCTCATGGTTGACTGAGGAGAGGTACAAAGAAGAGATCAGATAAAGAAGTTGTCTTTCTCATGGTTGACTGAGGAGAGGTACAAAGAAGAGATCAGATAAAGAAGTTGTCTTTCTCATGGTTGACTGAGGAGAGGTACAAACAATAGATCAGATGACTGAGGAGATAAAATATATTCTTCTGCGTATGTAAGTAATGCATTATGCATACAATATAAGAGATCATCATGTACTTAGCATACTTAGTGTATCAACTATGATATATAAGAGATAATCATGTACACTGTATACGTATAGCACGTTATATATGTTGCCAAAGAGATGTATAATAAATCAGGAGAAAACATTATAGTTAAATGCAATGTTTAACACTCCTAGAGTGTTGAATAACACAGAAAAATCATTAATTAAATTTGATTATTTCATAACGGCATTTCCTTAAAGTTTTATATTTTATGCTCTCGAAAATCTTCATATTTTGCAGAGTAAGGCGTTGCCTAAGATGACAGATTTTCAGCCAGGTGAGACTGAGTTAGAACGGATAAACAATATGTCATCAAAGATCAAATATTTGGTTATTGGAATTCGTAACTTTTCACAAATTTTACTTTATTGAACTACTAAATATTTGTAGTATAAACATGACCTATCAAAGTTCAATAAAAGGTTTGATCGTTCGAGAGTCTTAACTGTCGGAGCAGTCCAAACCTTGTATTCCCGCGGTTGAGAAATGTTAATTCTTTATTAGGAAATTACGAAAAAGTGACGTCATTTAGTTGATTCATGCGGTGCTGTAAAAATCACTGCTTGAATATTTATA